GTTTCCTCTAGATCAGTGATGGCGAATCTTTTAGAGACTGAGTGCCCAAAAACTGGCCCTGCCCCCGCTCCATCCCCCCTGCCCGCCCCCGCTCTGCCCCCCCATCCCCCGCCCCGCCTGCCCACAGGACCACTCACCGCCTCCAGGCAGCCCAGCAGCGCTATGGCGGCCACACCCTCTGCCCGCGCACTGCAGCATCAACTGCAGCATCAACTGCATGATGGGGTGTGAGGGCAGAGTCTTGTCTATGCTGCCTGGCTGCCATGTCCTTGGCTGCGCTGCTCCGTGCGGGCCACGCTCGGGGGCGAATCTCCTTCAGGGGGGCTGCTGGAGAGGAGGGGGTCACGGGGGGAGGCAAGGCTGGGGCAACGGCACGTGTGCCCACAGAGAGGGCTCCGAGTGCCGCCTCTGGCACCCGTGTCATAGGTTCGCCACCACTGCTCTAGATAATTAGCAGAACAAGTTACAGCATCTGCATATGTGTTTGTATTTCTGTTAAGATATTAAATGTTGTTAATATTTAAGTACTGCTTTGTATCAAAGAGAGATGGTCTAATGTAACATTCTTCACAAGTAAGCATCATGTTTCAAATAAGCAGATCTTCTAAGATTTCCTTTCAGCGAAGAGCAGATTCCTTACAGGGAAACTGAGTGAGTAAACAGAGAGACCTGGTGGATTTGCTTAGGGAATTCAGCAGGGGAATTCAAGGGGATTCTATCACAATCAAGAATTTGTGCTTAACCTGAGAAAAGGACAAGAACGAACAGTATACAGCCAGTAGAAAGGTTTTTAAGAAGATGGACAGAAATTCCATTTTGACCCACATTGCTTATAGCATATTTTGCTGCCTGAAAAAAAAACCTGGTATATATTTGCATCAAATAATGCTTGTTGCTTTCCTTGAAAGTAAAGTCCAAGAATTGGATCGATGAGAGATAATATTTCACTTGTAAAAATGTGAAGTGGATTTATCAGTTGAAAGAGAAGTTCCACGGCAGAAATGTATAATGGAAGCATTCCTCCATAAAAAGGCAGATAAATAGAGCTCCATAGTGCAGTAAATGAAAGTAACAGGCAGAAGTGAGAGATATGGCCTATTCTTCACTATTGGAAATCAGGAATGGCTTTCAGGCCCTCGTATGAAATAGACTAAATGTTCGGAGGAAGAAAAAGACAATAGAAGAAGAGGAGGATCATAAATCTCCAAAGGATAGCTATGTCATGAAGATAAAGGCAAGAGTTGTGATTGTTGGTGATTTACTATTGTAAGAAATTGTATGGCATTTGGGGCCACTGGCTTGTGAAATTATTGTCTGCCAGAGCAAGAATAAAAGTATAGATAAAATATTTTTCAAATCTTGTCAAGTCTGCTGACAGTTATTTTTTCCTGCTGACATATGTGAGGACAAGAGATACTGCAAAGAACAGGCACAGCTACCTTACTCTAGAGTTCTTGGGAGAAAGTTTAGGATATTGACAGCTTCTTACTATCCTTCCAGTCCATTGAAGATGCCCAGAAAGAGAAACCTGGGTAAGCAGATTGTGTCAACAACAGGTAGTCTTTGTTGATTGATGACAGTTGAGCCCGGAATTTTGGTTGAAAGTTGTTGCGGTCATTAAGATATCCACATGACCACTTCATTTAACAACTGCAATCCCAGCTCCCCCAGTTGTGGTTAAGCAACCATGTGGGTTATTGAGGGGATGGAGTGAAAGAGATGCCTGCCAAAGGAGGGCAGCTCTTTCTCTCTGGCACAGAAGGGAACCCCTTGCGTTGGCAAGCTGAATGGGGATTGGATTTTTGGGATCCAAGTTTAGTTGGTCCAGAACTGGAGTCCCCTCCCCACACTCTTAGTGTAGAGAAGGATCCTTTTAGCCAACGCATTTGACAGCAAAAGCGTTGCCTTCCAGATTGATTTGGCCTTGTGCAGATGGACTCTCTCTGCCAAGTAGTTCTTTCACTTTCAAAAGAGGCTGGCTGAAAAAGGTCTGCCTACAATCTAAGCAAAAATCCAAAAATCCAGCCTCCAGGAACCAGTTAGATGGCAGGGAAGATTGCAAATGGCGACCACATGATTGCAGGACTCTCGGCAACCTATCATAAGTATGAAGTGTTGTCAAACACTCAAATTGCAATCATGTGATAATGGGGATGGGGTGGGGGGTGAATGCTACAACAGTTGTAAACTTGGACATGGATCGTAAGTCCCTTCATTCAGTGCTGTGATCATTTTTAATGGCCACTGAACAGATAGTCATTTACCAAAGAGTTATATTGCATGTTTGAATATCCATCCTTGCTAAGAAGTCTAAATGAATTAATTTGGAAATGTTATAAACCTATCCAGCCAAGGTGAACACATGGATGATAGCCTCCAAACACAAATTGCAGATATTTCAAAGATTCAGGAAGGAAGGAAGCAAGCTGAAACTGATTATAGTCAAACATAATCTTGGACCTAAAAAAAAAAAAGGCAGATGGAAATTCCTAAAGAAGGAAGTGGCTACTCAAAAAGCTTAGCAAAGCTTGAAAACAAGAATGCAGAAAGAGGGATAGATCACAAAGCAGGTCACATAGGCCAGCATAATGGAGCCGCTGTCAGTATATGAAAACTCAGAGAGATTAGCAAAAGATTGTAATAATTAAAAAAGGCTTTGTGGGAAGACAATACTCATTGATTCCATTTATCCCTCACGTCATTCGCATACAGCTTAGCTTTAAAACCATGGGCAAGGCGAGAGAGAATTGAACTCTGCATAGCATGGGACTCAGGTTGCGGTCAAGGTTAAATCACTGTGGATCTGAGGAAATTTCAGCCAATAAACTGGGTGGCAGTCAGGTGAACGAATGAAAATAAAAGGCTTTTATATTATGAGTAGTTACGGCCTTGCCAGCAGCAGTTGAGTATGCCAAATGGGGAACAGCTGAGGCCACAGTAGACTCAGCTTACACAAGGCTCCAGTTGGGACCAGCTAGGATCACACTTGCTGATGTTGAGAGAAGCTCAACTAAAGCAGCCACCAGTACAGTCCAACAGCCTTCCAGTCCTGCTCAGCAACTGGGAGCATCCACTGACAAGTGATAAAGAAAGGGATATTGAAGGGAAATAGAGAGCTCCAAGAAGTCCCATGTTGTAGATCCCTGATTATAGTAGTATTGTACATGAGAAGGAATAAGGCTAGAGAGGAGAAAAGAAATAAACACATAGGTACTAGCTCGGGGGCTCACACCAGTGGTGGCAGTTGGGCAGGCACCACCCTTCAGGAAGGAAAGAGAACTTAGTCCAAAAGTTCAGGGGCAAAAACATTCTGAAGTAGCAAGTTAGTTATCTCCATACAAATAGCCAGTGGAATTAGGCATGCTATCTGCAAGAGGATATCCTGGTTAAGTTCCCCATCCTTCATGAATAGGAGTAAAGCTTAGCTTCTCAGTAAGAAATGCAGTCCGGGAAAACAGCCAAGAGTGAAATAGCCCAGATAGAGATGAACAGGTGCAAGTTTGGAACGTTTCCCAGAAAGTTCGTTCAAAGTGGAAATGGAAAGTTAAAAGCCTTCTTCGTGTCTATAACAACAGAGGAGAAAGAAAGTTTAACCTAGAGCTGGTCTGTGTATGGCCTGAATTTTTGTACCATCCTGAACCTGTGACAGGCTTATCTATTGTCAGAATAAAAGGAAAAAGAATCAATAGACTAGCTGCTCAGCAAAAAAAAAAAAATGCTAACAAGTAACAAAGGAAAGATAGATCTAGATTCTAGTCAATTCTTATTTTGGTTCAGTTTTCTTTGTGTTCCCACAAGACAATGTGAAGGGCAGGAGGAAAGAAGAAAGATTCATAGAAATATGATTAGGAAGTGTATCTTCTGATGAAGTCCATTCTCAGGGACCACATGAATTGCATACTAGGTTACTGGAGGAACTAATAGACTAAGTGAAAATTCATATGTTATCTTTGAGAAGTCCTGAAGAACTGATGAAAAGCCAGATAACCAAAGGAGAGTATGTATTTATATAAAGATTATCTTATCTTATTTCTATCATCAAAAAAGGGGAAAAGAATGATCCAACAAACTGCACGATAATTAATCTGACGTTGACATCTGGGAAGAATCTAGAGGAAGAATAAAGATTTTGATCTGTAACCACCTTGCCAATATGATGGCAATTACCAGAAGTCATCATTATGGATTTGTCAATAACATACCTTGCTAGATTAATCTTGACACAATTTTGAGATTTATTTCTGAAATAACTGTCAGAAAGCTGTAGGCATAGCTGAAGTTCAGTAAAGCATTTTATCGAGTCAGCTGTGTCATGAAACTTAGCAAACTATTTAAGCATGTACTGGATGATTGAATGGACAGTTAAGCAGATAAATGCTAACCTGAAAATTGTACAGGTAGTTCTCAACTTATGGCCATAATGGAGCCTGTCCTTTATGGTTGCAAGTGGTGATGGCCATTAAGGCTGGGTGGGAAGTAGGCCTAGCCCTATAGAATCTAACTCTTCCATGTGCTGATAGCTTCTGGCAACCAGCTTTAGGCTCCCTTGTATGGCTTAATAGCCAGCTTGGGAGCAGGTGGGATGGGTGGGGGAAATAAGAGGGCTGCAGCATTCCTGCAGTTGGGTTATAAGTTTAAACAAAAATGGGGGAGGGCACTACAGTGGCCATAACTTTGAAACCAGATGATAAATATCTATTGGGCAGTCTATTGTAACTTCAAACAGTCACTAAGCAACCAGTTGTAAGTCGAGAACAATTTGTATTCACTGACTACTTACCAGTGGCTCATTATCAAACTGAACAGACATAGCAAAATAGGTATCATAAAGATCAGCCTTGGATCCTTGATGCTTTAGTATGCTTACTAAGATTTGGATGAAGAGGTAATACAAATGCTTATCAAATTTACAGATGATACTGAATTGGATGGGATAGTGAATACTGTAGACGAATTCAAAATGTTCCTAATAGATTGGAGCAATGTGTTACAAAGAACTGAGTGAAATTTAACAGATATAAGTGCAAAATTTAGTTTTTGCACTTAGTTTTAGGGAAACTGGTTTTTCTAAGGAAACTAAAAAAAATCAATTATACAGTATAGGACGGAGGATACCTATATTAAAAAAAATCTTGTAATAGTAGTTAATTGCAGATCTGAATATTAGTCAGCAGAGTAAGGTAGTTGCAAAGGTGACAAATCCAATTTTAGGTTGCACCAATAGAAATAGAGAATCCCACAGAAAGTAATCTTTGCCCTCTATTTTGCTTTGGTTAGATTCCACTTCAAATACTAGGTTCACTTTTGGGCACCACATTTGAAGCGGAATTCCAAGAATTCAGAGAACTGCAGTGAATATGATTGGGAACTGGAAACGAAATCCTGCAAAGAAAGATGAAAGGATCAGGATGCCTGTAGCTTGTGAACAAATGATTGAAGGGGAATACCTCTTCAAGTAGATGAAAGTTATAGTCTATTTTTACTCATTTCACAGTGTGGGATACAGAATTCTATATTTTAAGTTACAGAGAGGCATTTTCCAGTTTAATGTTAGAAAAAGCTTTCTAAGAGTGGGAAACTGATAAAGGAACCCAAACAGCGGTAGATACTATTTCATTAGAATGTTCAAACAGAAGCTTAAAAGACTCCCGCACTGAGCAGGGGTTGGATTTAGTCGTTTAAAGAGCAGCTTCCAATTCTCTGATTCAGATAAATGTATTTGTAACAGGAACATTATCAGTATCTAAGGTTGCATAGCAGTTGTGAAGCTAAGTATGTGTGTATGTGTATGTGTCAATGGCACTTCAGGGCAAGATTTCCTTTGAGCTTCCTTGTCATAAATACTGCATGGTATTCAGAGCTCAAGTAAACTCAAAATCTTTTTCTGAAATTAATAATAGCTGGATAAAATATCTCCCATTAATTTGCAGTTATAGCTTGTTATGGTGTAATCTTAAAGTGATATAATAAGGAATAAAGAAATTATGATAAGGCCTTAATAATATAATAGTACTGACACACATACACACAAACAATCTTCCTTCATGCAAAATGGAAGAAATTAGAAGCATGGTTCTCCCAGTGCTTCAGGAGCAAGATACTACTGAAGTTTTTTAGGATTATTATAGTTAAGAAATCCTTTGTGTAATGTTCTTTTAAGCTATCCTTTCATAATACTGTTTTTGATGTTTAGCATTTTGGATAGAATGTTTATTATTAGGGGAAATAACAAACACTAGTATTTATTTTGAGTCATCTTATAAGCCAGTTTGGGGAGAGGGCTTGAAACTTGAAAAGTGGTCCAAATTAAGTAACATGAATAATATAAATAATTCAGCTTTTGCGTATAATAAAAATAACCAGGCTGTTCAACTTATCTCGACAGATCTTCTGTTCCCCATATGCACCGCCTTCCCTGGTGAGAGAGAACCTTGCCATAATCCTTCAGATGGGCTTCTCAACCTAATTACTTGGGAGCTGGAACCAGATGGAGCCCTTGATCGTTGCCCATGTGCTCATGGGTTGATTTGTCAGAAGCAGAGGTAAAATTTTGGATTAAAAAGAATTAAACTCTTCCCAGAACTTCATTGGAAAATTAAGATCAGACTAAATATTTTAGTTTTGAGGAACACCTTGATGCCTCTTAATTTAGCATTTTGCGTAAGACTGCACAAGTGTATTGGAAGATGGCAGTCAAGGCAAAGCAGAAATCAGACTTACTCCTTACTAGCTGCAAACATAAAACAATTTAAATGCTATAGGAAATTAATCAAGGTAAATTATTCAAAAGGTAAGCTAAATGCCCATAAGAAATACAGTTTCCCAAATTCTAAGAATTAAATTGCCTGTCAATGAAATATTATCTTTTGGTAGAAGTTCTGTCTTCTTATTTGAGGGTGGTAGAAGTTAATAGGAGATGAAATATTTTAGAATAGCTCAACAAAACCTTGATGTGGCTAGGCCATGTATATTTGAAATGTTTCCTTAAGGGCTTCATATCTAGTTGTTCCCAACTACAAACATTAAGGCTGTGTTAGGTTTTGAAAGAATACAGTGGACACACACAAATTTGTAACTAGCAGTAATCAAGTTATGTATAGTTTGAATTGGAGTTTGTAATAGAACAAAGACATTTAATTCTTTGCCCTGCCACTTTCTAAGTTCTTTCTGTTTGTATTTCAAGGAAAGTTTTCATTAATGTTGATTTTCAGGAGAAACATAATCATGAAGACAAAAACAGAAAGCATTGAAGTTAAATAGAAATACACTCTGGTTAAATATTAGGAGGAGTTTCCAATGGTGAAAGCTGTAACCAAAGACATAGGGTGCCTCGTGGAGGTCTTCAGAGGATGGAGAGCCATCTATAAAAAATGCTGACTTAGATATCTGACCTTCCACTTTTGAGTCTGCAAAATGGGAAAAATAAAAGGAAAATACCCTTTTTCTATTTACATAGTCCTAAACCTACCTAGATTGTTGTTCTATAACAGAGGTGCACATACTTGTCACATTTGTAGTTTGCACAGTCTGATAGTAGAAGGATGGTCAAAGAGGTTTAAGGATCGGCCAAAATACAATGTGATCATTGTCTTTTTGTGAGAATGTCTCGGTGTGTTTTACTTAGGGTTTTTTTGTGCCAGCCTGAACTAATTCTGCAGTTTTCTTGATAAGATTTTTCAGAATTGCAGCCTTCTTCCTAGAATTGAAAGTGAGTGACTGGCCCAAGGTCACCTAGCTGACTCCATGGCCCAAGGTCACCTAGCTGACTCCATGTCAAGGTGAAGCTAGAACTCACTCTCCTAGTTTCTAGTTTTGTGCCTTTAACCACTACACCAAACCAGCTTGCTTAGGAACTATAAAAATATTTCATTGAAAGGTAGTTGATACCCGGTTAATTGTAATTCAGGAATGTAGAAGCATTTTATAACATGGGGATTAGCACTTTTAGCCTGTTCCTGTAGTTATGTCTGTACTGAATGCCCTGGGGGAACTGAGGTGGAGATGTACTGCAGGGTTTAGGCTGCTAGATAAGCCTGGATTCAGTTCATGATATGGCAGGCTGAAAGTAGCCCAGCAGGGAATTATTAATATAACTGGGTTTAATATAACTAAGTTTTCAAACTGAGTCAAAGGTGGTGATTTCTGACAGATATAATTTTATTGTACTGGTATAAAATTTCTGACTATACTGTCAGTCCCAGATGGAAGATCGCTATTGTTACATACTTGCACGACTGTCCACAGAGGTCATGAAGATCATATCATGTTGCTTGGAAGGATTAGTATGTGATTGCCAGGGCACTTGTAAATTAGTAGTAACAATTCCATTTGAAGGCCATAGCCGTTGAATGTAAAGAGGATTCCTTCTTAACATGGTTAATTCACTGTATTAATAGAATTGTTTTCTCTGTTGCTCATTATGTTGTCTACATTTTATTTACATAAACTTATATGCCGCCCTTCTCCCTATAGGACTCAGGGCGGCTTACAGCATATTAAAACACACAAACGCCATCCCCCATAAAACCAATTAAAAACCAAATATTTGTCGCTGTATAGTTATTAAGATTCGAATTAAAATTGTCCCTATTTAAAATTCTCCCTAGGCCAGACCCGCTTGTTGAAAAAG